AGCAAGGGTGAGGAATCTGAATATCATGTGCAAGGCTCAAGATGACGCTTAGGACAGTACATGCAGAGTAAAAATAGTTTCCTTCCATATCCAGGTAATATAAAGCTGACAATTGTAGTCCTGTCTTTATGGGATGAAAACAGTCCCTTTACAATAAACTTCCTGAAAGGGAGAACAAATAGATAATAACTCTTCTGGTAGCATATTATAGTACACTGGCCAGTGTGTTTTTGGCAATTAAACATAATCCTGTGAATCAGATTAATTCACTTGCTGAGTGTTCATTTGCGGCATTCCTCTGTTGGGTCTTGGGGGCCCTCCACGACCTAGAAGACAAAAATGGCATTTGATTTTTCTTTCAAATATTGTTTGTTTTGCCTTCAAGCAGATTTTCATCTGAAGTCAAGAAGCATGTGGGCAGAGCTTGTAACCAAACTATTAGGTTTAAGAGGTCAGTTCTTCAGTGTTCAAGTTTCACCCTTCCTGGAAGTTGTCATGCGTAAATCTGCTCATGTTCTCTAGCTAAAAGAAGAGTAGAGCTAATGGAGTATTCCACCAGTACTCATTCATTCATTCATTCAACAAGTATTTATTGAGTGCCTACTATGTGCCAGGCACTGTCATCAGGCGTTGGGAATAGATACAGCAGTGAAGACAGACAAGGTACCTGCTCTCACGGAGCTTACATTCTAGTGTACACTCTAGCTTACATTTCAGTAGTAAGTAACATCATACTATCAAAATTAATAAAAGCACCAGAATGAAAACAGACCTCATTACCTAAACTGTTAAAAACTAAACTACGTAACATTCAATTTTATGACTCATAACAGATAAAATAACTTTGTAACATGCTATTAAAACAGATTTTAGCTATCAGTTAACTCAACTTTCATAGAATATGCTACAAGGTGGGAAAGAAGAACATAACCCACATTCACATGCAAATAACCTTTGACACTTCTGGTCAAGTCAGTAATTCCCAAATGATCCATTACTTTTTTTAAAAAATGCACCTTTTTGCTGGCCAATTGCTACTAGCATTCAAATCAAAGTACTTTGTAATTCCTCAATATACATTTTATACATGTTATGGCCAATAACTAGAGGAAACTTATTCATTGTTTTAGCCTCCTTCAAATCAGAGAACCATTTAGAACTTCAGATTATATGAAATGCTAGCTCTAATTGTTAAATAGGTTAATTTCATGACCAAATAGCAAGTCATTTTTCAATAATAAAAGACAAAACAAAAAGGAAATTCTTTAAACTTATAATTTTTAAGTGTAGTTCAGTAAAAAAGAATTTGAGGGTTTTAAGTCAGAAATAATTTGATATTTAGATCACTTAAGAGTGGTCCAAAAGGTATAATTTCTATGAGTTCTACTACTTCTAAATGGTTCTCTAAATGTAGCTATGGCTTGTCTGGCCATTCAAGGGTTACTGGTGCTAAAATATAATATGCATGTTTCAAAAATCAAAGAGGAATAATAGATTTATATAAATGTTCAATCTCACTCCAAAAATGTCTTACAAAAATGTTTCAGTAAGTACTTCCTAAAAACATTTAGCAGGTTTTAGGACCTGAAAAATAATTTCCAGTTGGAAAAACACTTTTTCCAAGGAAGAACAAATGTTCTGGTTTTTCAAGACAAGTTTATAGTAACAGGGAAAGTCATTCAAAAATTAAAACTTTGGATTCAAGATTAAGTTTTAGAAACAGAGCATTTCATTTAATCCCTAGCAACAAGTCTGGAAAAGATCAGTGTATTCCTAACATGTAACCTACATGCAGACTACGAACAGCTCTTCCAAGGCAAGGCCAGAACAGATCCAGCTAGGATCACCACCACAAAATATTACCTCGTGGGGCTCCCCGTGGTCCACTCTGCCCAGAGCCTCGCTTGAAATTCTGCTGATATCCATCCTAAAAGACAAGCTAGTTAGTACTGTAAAAAAGAAAGGGCAATTTTTTTTTTTTTTTGGAGGCAGGGTCTCCCTTTGTAGTTCAGGCTGGTCCTAAACTCACTATGTAGCCCAGGCTGCCCTCAACCTCACGGTGATCCTCCTGCCTCAGCCTCCCAAGTGCTGGGACTACAGGCATGTGCCACCATGCCCGGCTCAAAAGGGCAATTTTTATAAAATGCTTACCCATAACACTGGCAAAATTCCTTTCCTTTTAGACATTTCAGTGTGACATTACCAAAAGTTATTTTATAGTTACTATACTTCTATTATACTCAAGAATATTTAATGAGATAAATTTACCTGCTCTTCAAAATAATTGTTTTTAACAACTTTCCTGATTCTCTATAATGACTACACAGGAAAGCAAGAATCGTCATTTTATGTAACAGAACAGCTTGGATACAACTGAACCCTAAATTACTTCATTACTGAGACCCCACCTTGCATTTACCTACCCGCTGATAGCCAGAGTAGTCCCGGGGAGCACTGAACTGAGACTGTGTATAACCACTGTTTGGAGTGTTAGAGAATGAAGGGCGGTAGCCATCATATCCTCCTAAAATTTAGGACAAAAAAATAGTAACTTTCTGTTCTTCACAAAGAATTTACTTTCTTATTAATGAGAAAGGAAAGAATTAGAGAAATTAAAAGCCATGCTAATTGTTGTGATACTTTCTAATTCCCTATCCTGATCCAATCTGTTTATAAATTTCTGTAAGTGCTGCCATCTATACTTATGAATACACACATACATACGATGACAACAAAGGGAGAAAAAAAAATCCCGTAAGTTCTGATAATACACAAAAAGCAATTACCTCTCAGAAGACTGACAATGACATGACAAAAACCAAAATAAAATTGCCCATTTTTATCATTTAAATAATTATATCTAAATATACCTTAAAAAAATTATTTTTGAGATAGGGTCTCACTATGTAGCCCAGGCTGTCCTCAAACCCATGGCAATCCTCCTGCCTCAGCCTCCCTAGTGCTGGGGTTACAGGTATGCACCAGGACGCATGGCCCTAAAATGTTTAAATTCTACATAAAGACACTAATGCAGAGAAATACATCCTTGCCCAAAATCATGACATATTTTTTATCTATTTTACAAAGTAAAAAAGAACTTCAAACACTAAAAAGCCATTAAAGCCTGCATTTTTATGTATTTCTTTACCTCTGAATCCATTGGCAGGGCCCCGGTATCCATTCATCAAGCCTCTAGCACCACGAGAACCTCCACGGGATACACCACGACTATTATAATAAGGCTGACTGCTACGTGGAAATCCAGTGTTCTGCTGAGGAGGCTGCTGGTGGTTACCAGTCACTTGATGGGGCTGGTCCTGGGAACCATGGTAAGTGCCAACCACTACAAGAAGAAAGTACAAACGTTGTACATATGTGCACATATATGAGGCTCATTACTACTTGTTCTCCCACATGCTTTGTAGTTTAAGGAGTATCCTACAGTCTCCTCAAAGCTTAATTCTGTCTTTAAATAAATTTGCATGCTAACAATAAGGAAAATTACATATTGATGAGGTCCTTGTTTTTCTCCTATCCATAGATAATTCTCCACAATAATTCTAAACCTTTCACAGGAGGGGACACAATTCCATCTTCCCAAACAAATGATTTGAAATGAATATGTATCTGTATCTACCTACCTACCTATATACATACACATATATATATATGGGGGGCGGGGGACCAGGTTCTCACTCTGTAGTCCAGGCTCTCACTCTGTAGTCCAGGCTGGCCTTAAACTAACTCTGTAGCCCAGGCTGGCCTCAAACTTGCAGTGATCCTCCTGTCTCAGCCTCCTGGGTGCTTAGATTACAGGAGCACACCACTATCCTTGACCAGGACTGTATACCATTAACATCTAAAAGGCATCTACCTTTTATTACAAGGGACAAAAAGTCAAAAGATTTGTATGTCAAAACAGTGCAATTACCATTTTGTGCCATTTAATTACTTTTCATTATATAGCTACTTAGCGGTAGTTTCTTGTTTTAAATTTCCCTTGGTACCTAGTGAAACACACAAAACCACAGACTCATAGCTAAACAATTACATGACAGAACATGCCATCAATTACAGAGCTAACTCAACAGATGTGTTCCAACTCACAGCTCTCTCTTAATGCCTGGCTTCATTTCAAAGTATGGCCAGTTTAAAAGACAGTTAAATGATACACTGGCATTCCATCCAGTTGAAAATAAGGTATATAGAAGGCTCACGTTACCTTGGATATACCCACCCCCTTCTAAAATGAGAAGAGTTTTGGAATACAGAAAATTTCAAAAACTTTATACCAAAGTGCATTTCTCGTATTAACTACAATGGTTATAATTCACAGGGGAACCAAATCAGGGTGCTCTAAGTACCTCTGGAAGGTGAGGAATATAACAGAAGAAAGGAAGGCCCTTACCCTGGAATAATGATGAGGGTGCTAGCCTGCCCAAATGTCCCCCATTTTGGGGAACAGAAAAAGTTGTGACTCTTAAAAATCTATTCCTGACCAAATCCCCAGCCCTGCGGCTTCTTTTGCCGGGGATTTAGCTCAGTGGTTTCACCACCTTCTGCGCAAGCACAAGGACCTGAGTTCGATCCCCAGTACCAAAAAAAAAAAATCTATACCTGACCTACTTTACACCCTCAAAAAACTATTGCTATTTTCAAAATAAAAAACAAACCCCAGAGAATGCCTAGGGAGAGAAGGGTCATGGATCTTCTGAACTACTTACTGACCAACTACACCACTCATAGTGTAATGTTTCTACAGACTGCCTTTGATTACATCCCCAGAATTTAAACAAGGCATGGTCTTTATTTTGAAATACCAGAATTCCTAATTGTTTAAACATATAGTCCATGAAAAGTCAAATATCCTTATGAGATCCTTTCCATATTATTCCTGATTAGATACTAACTCAAATTGAAACTAAAATCGCTGGAATGATTAGGATACATTGATTTGTTCAACAAATATCAGAATGTCTACAACATGCCAGGGATGTTCCTAGACACTCAGGATATGTCAGTTCCCAGCACAGACTTGTACACATAACTTTACTCTAATGAGAGATAATTAAGTAGAATGAATGAGTCAACCAAAAGAGCAAGCCAAGGGCCAGGGATTTAGCTCAGTGGCACTGTGCCTGCCTCACAAGCGCAAGGTCCTGAGTTTGATCCCCAGTATGGAAAAAAAAAAACAGTCAGCTGTATTTGGAAAGGGTGAAGAGAGGTACCTGAAAAGTGATATTTGAGCACAGACGTTAAAAAAAAGCAGCAAGCAGGGCAGCAATAATTGAGAGATCTACTATACAACATGGTGGCTGACTCCTTCTAATTTACTAAGACCAGACTGTGTTCCTGTTTTTAACTAATGATAAATACAGGAGTAATACACTGTCAGCTCAATTCAGCCATTCCACAATGTATACAAATTTCAAAACATCAAGTCATGCATGATAAGTATATATATACAGAGTTGTCAATTCAAAATAAAAATATTGCTGGGCATGGTGGCACACGGCTGCAATCCCAGCACTAGGGAGGCTGAGGCAGGAGGATTGCTGCAAGTTCAAGGCCAGCCTGGGATACACAGTGAGTTCAAGGCCAGGCGGAACTACATAGCAAGACCGTGTCTCAATCAATCAATCATAAAAATATTGACTGGGCATGTTGGTGCACACCTACAATCCCAGCCCTGGAAAGGCTGAGGCAGAAATTCAAGCCCACCCTGAACTATACAGTGAGACCCTATCTCAAAAACCCGAAAGTAAATACATAAATACACAAAGTGTATCAACATACTGTCTAACAGCTCCAAATGTAACTTGTTCCACAACTAATTTTTAAATATACGGCAATGACGTAGTCAAAGAACCCCAGTTTTATTATTCAGAAGATAAGCATAGCATAACTGTTAAATTTCTATCAGATTATAGCTAATTCAATCTCTATACTCAGCAGAGGTACTGGGTACTACAGTGATATGCATGAATTTCCTCCTGAAAAATCTAGTGTTAAGCCAGGTCTATCAAGAAATTGAAAAATATGAGAAAAGGAAAAAATGGAAACAAAGTCTTTGTAAATAGGCAAGGGTGGAGGGGGTGAAGGGAGGGCGGGGGAATGGGGAAAAAATAAGAACCAAGATACATCATGTACAGGTATAAGATCCCAATGATGAATGTAACTGTATTGTATACCTAAAATGTACCAATAAACTTAATGAAAAAAAAAAAAAAGAAATTGAACAATTAGAAAATTCCAGGGCTAGGGATTTAGCTCAGTGGTTCTGCCACCTGCCCTGCAAGCGCAAGGACCCGCATTCAATCCCCGGAACCAAAACAAAAAAAAATTCCACATATTAAAAACCAGTCTAGTAGAATTAGGGCATTAACTCCTATGATTTCAACAGGTCTTGTTAGTTTGCTGTGGGGTTCCAATTATGTCCCAGGAATTAACCAAAGACCTAAAAATGGTATTTCATGTTTTATAAAATGTAAGTCTACCCACGCTACTATGGTGACAGGTATGGGACATGCCTAAATTATGAACTTATTTGCCAAGGATTCTGTTTCAGCCTACTCTATGAAACACTATACATTCACCAATGAGACATATGTAGTTTTACTATTATTTAGTACAGTAAGAAGCAAGGAAGCCCTTACTGTTTCTAAACTTCATATAACTAACTTATTGCTAGCTATGATGCTAGCAGGCTCTAAGCAATCAGCAACTAAAAGTTTATCACAATATAACAAGCTTAACAAATTTAATTCCAAAATTACATATGGTACATTATAAAAGCTCAGTAACCAACCCCCCCCCCAAAAAAAAAGAGTACGGCTTCCAAAAAGGCAGTTATGTTAATTTAACCTACAATTAGCAATGAAAAAGTTTCTACGATCTACTACTCTAAAACACTGCTGCCTGACCTGTGGTGACATTGTAACACGCAGGCAACAAGGTGACACTGGTTTTCCTACCTGTTTGGAGCTGTTCTTGCTGGAGCTCTGTCTGCTCCACTTGGTGAGGCTGACTGGAAAAGCTCTGGTTATAACTGGACTGGTACTGGTTTTGCTGTTTTAAAGTTTCTGGTTCATTAACAGGAGGAACTGGGGCATTCATATTGAATACCTGCAAGTGAATGAAGTGAATGATTAGCTCATCCCTCTACTCCCTGCTTTGAACATGGCAGATCTCAATGCTGGCTTTCCCACAAATGTAACTAAAGAAGATGACAGAAGTTTCTAACACATAGGTATATCACAGTAAAAAACACAACAAGAAAAACATTCAGTGCACTTCAAAGTAAAAAAGATGCAAACTCCTGATGCAGTACCACTTGCAGAAATTTAATCTATGAACTGAGCTGAATATTTACCTTAACTCATTTTTATTAATATTTTAATGAAACAAATATTTTAAGAAATTAACTCTGAACTCTCCTCTGAGCACTGACTTAGCTGTATCCCACTGGTTATTTTCTTCTTGATATGGGGTCTCACTCTGTAGTTCAAGCTGACCTTGAACTCACTATGTAGCCCCGACTGGCCTAGAATTTGCAGCAGTCTTTCCTCAGTCTCCCAGGTGCTGGGGTTTCAGGTGTTGTGGTACCACGCCAAGCTGTTCTCATTATCATTTTCTAGAAATTCTCTAATTTAAAGACACTTGTTGATGAACCGAGGTGAATCATAACATCTGAATTTTATGTTGCAAAACTTCAGTAAAACAAAAGATTAAGCAAATAGGGCAAAATGTCAACTGTCAAATTTAAATTACAATCATATGGATAATAGTCTACTTTTTTGTATGTTTACACTTTGTTAAATCAAAAGGGTAAAACTACCAAATAAGAAGATGCAGGTACACAAAACTTGTAAGGCTCAAATTATCTCTCAGATCGTTGACATTCGGCATTTAAGTTCAATTAAATATACACTACAGAGGGCTGGGGATTTAGCTCAGTGGTTCTGCCACTGCCTTGCAAGCAGAAGGACCTGAGTTCAATCCCAGATACCAAAAAAAAATACCCTACAGTTAAAATACATGCAGACTGAGCTCAGTTAAATGAAGCCTCTTTGCTGAACATCTAGCATCGTTTACTACACACTGGGCACATAGTGTTAGCTGAACTGACTGCTTACCGTTTGCATGGATTGGAATGGAGCTGCGTTTACATTGATTCCACTGCTATGTAAAGGTTTGCTCGTCCCAGCCTGGAAAACCTGAGGCTGAGAAGCAGTGGGAAGGGATGAGGATGCTGTAGTCTGGTCTGTATTTAGAGAGATTGTTGCCTAAACAAAAGTAAATAAATAGATGCACTTTAGTAGTAAACCAACCCAAAGTTATTGCAGATTAACAAGATCAACTACTTCCAAAAAGAAAACCAGATCCAAAAAGAAGTCACTATGTTAACACCTAAGTGCCTCTGCCTAATGCAAAGTGAATATGAGGAGTGAACTCATCGAGGTTGTATGTCCTGATGATAGAACTTGCCTGAATCTGATCAATTGGTTCCTTTTGTGGCCGCTGCTCTGTGGCATGTGAAGGCTGATACAATGGTTGAGATGCCGTGTATCCCTCACTCGTGGATGAAACCAAAGGAACCTAGATAGAAATCAAAGCTTTATTGTTTTGTTTTTTATTAAGCTTTATTCTTCTTACAAAATTAACTGGTCAAAATAAACCAACCCTAATGCAGAGAGGGCTAAGAAATACACATACCTGTACTTTCTCTCTATACCTGCAGACTACACAACCTAACACATTTTTAAAGTTAAATATACCCAATTCTAATTTGAAGTCCTATAGGCTTCTAAGAGGGCAAAACTTGTTTTAAACTTTAGAATTATGTCTAAAATACGCCTTCTAAAATTCAACTCAGGTTATAATTAAAAAGCTCCTTTGATTTTAATACTTATATATACAAGAAGTAACAAAAACAATTTAAAAAGTTATCAAAGAAAAATAAATGTAACGAGGACATAAATAAAGGGTGGTAACTACCAATGCCAATGAATATGTAACAGAAGACTTGGACACTGATCAAATGCAGACACGAGGTTCATAAGAGGCATAGAAAACAAACCTGAAAAAAATAATACTCTTACCTGTGTAGCTTCTGGTTGTACAGAAACTTGATTAGACTGAGCAAGTCTAGATTCAGAATGAACTGCAAAATGGACAGGATTATTATTATACGTAATCAAATTTCTTAAGAGGTGCCTAAGTACCTTTTATGTGGCTGCTAATGCAAATTTCTAAGGCCGAACCCTCAACTTCGGGCATTGTGGCCCATGCCTGTAATCCTAGCACTTGGGAGGCTGAGGCAGGAGGACTGCCATGAGTTCAAGGCCAGCCTGGACTACATAGTGAGTTCAAGACCAGCTTGGACTACACAGCAAGACCCTGTCTCAAAAAAAGTAAAAAAATAAAATAAATTCCTTTCATTTGGTGTTTTATAAGGTTAAGTAAAATGTCAGTGAGAACATATCAACAAAGAGGTACAGAAAAAAACAAAAATTCAATATTAAAGTTGTCCATGATAAAGCT